ACCGGCAACTTGCACTTGGTGGCCAGGCAGGCAAATAGAGAACTCAGGGCAGCTGGGAGAGGCTTGGAGGATATGAAAAATCCTATGAGAAGGATGAAGAGAGTTTCTTTTAGGTCCATAGGAGAGCTTTGATAGTAAGTTGCCTGATTGTTGGAGTTACAGGCTCAGGAAGTTTGTTCCTTTAATAAGAAGATTGTTTTTGATTTTGCTTTGGTTGCCATTCTGTATAATAAATCATATCCTTTATCAACACTAAACAAATTTGTAACCATCTGTTGCTGACATTCCATCGAGGACTGATACCCCTGTGAAAACCATACAAGCAAGCCCCCACTAGTATGGTTCTGGGAAAGGAGAATTACATCTCCCACCCCCCACCCCCAAAGTCTCACAGTTATTTTTGGAGTTTTCAAAAATGAGGCTCAAGTGAGTTCATGAGTGAGTCTGTCGGCTCCCTTTACCTGAAGGCATCTTTTCGGTTTGTCTAGTTACGTCCATGTGCACTGCCTACAAAAGCACATGGTGACACCTCACCTCTTCCAGTGCCCATTTAAGATCTCTAGTGTCTGTAACAAGGGTGTGGACCCTAGATGGCCCTAAGGCTTTTGTTTAAGATCCTAAAGAAATCCTAATTTTGATAAGTGATTGCAAGACACATAAAACATGACAGTGAATTCAACCAGCCTGGAGATAGTCCAGCAGATCAGTGATATCATCAGAGATCCACACTCTGTTTATTATGCTGCCATCTAAGAAATTAATAGAAAGAGTTGGGGAAAAGCCTTACATGGAAAATTTACAATTAAACCACAAATGATCATGAAACATTAAAAAAAGCTCACTCTTGCTAAGTCAGAGAACTATAAACTAAAACACTGATGTGCCATTTGTTCCCTATCAAATTAAAAAAATTAAAATTATTATCTTATTCAATATTTGTTAGAATTTAGGGGAACAGGCAATCTTTTAAATTGTTAGGAGATTGAATTTGGCAGAAAGTTTTTGTGGGAAATTAGTTATGTGTATTAAAGTTTTTTAAATGAGCATACCTTTTGCCTCAGGATTCCTGGTCTGGAATTTATTTGGGTATGTGCAATAACAGCTCCAAGGGTGTTTTGTGACTAATAGAAAGATTGGTTAAATTACGGCACATAACAAACGACTGAATACCATGCAGCCATTAAATATAAAATTGTAAAAAGATACTGAATCATAGGGAGCCGTGTTTGCAATATAGCGGTTTTAGAAAATAATAATAGCTACCAATCTATTGACTGCTAACCAGTGATAATGACTTCTTTACACACATTATCAGTACTTAACACACATTATCTTGTTTCATCTTTTCTACCCTGAGAGATTGTTTCCCCTGATTACCAATAACCATC